TTGGATCACATCGATTAAGACAGTTTTTATTGTATTCGAAAATACTTTTGTAACCTTGGAATCCTATTAAGTCGATGAACTAATTATTATGAACCTTTGTAAAATGTGTTTCTCTTAAACTGTTGCCAAGACTCACTTGTCTGTTAGCACCCTGTGTTTCTGCTTTAGCGGGGTGTGAGATATTTGGTATCAGAGCCTCGGTTATAGAGAACGCTAGTTTTTTTCCTTAAACCATCGACTATAACTAAAATGATTTCTAAACGATTTTCAATCATGTGTTTAAWGCGGGCCTTGTTGTTACACATCGGTTAAGTAAAGTCTGATCACCTGTKCTTAATTTATGTGTAATAAAAAGAACTTAATCGATCTGATTAGAGGTATGCTCTAGTTGTGACACTATTATGAAAAGCATGAGCTTAGTCCCACTTTTGCGAATATCTGTTTCCTAGGATTAGAGGCACAGGTCAAGAAGACCAGAAACAATGAAGTTGGAATCATTGCCTTCGCAGAAGCTCTGCCATAAGTGAATAAGAAAACCAGAGGATCCATGCATGAGTTACATGAATGATAGCATAGGGGTTGCCACAGTGGCTCTAGTCCCGCTACCAGAGGCTCTGGTTGGAGCAAGATGTATGATCAGAGAGTCGTTGAACCCTTAGTAAATCTAATGAAAATTGCACCAGAAGCTCTTGTAGACACTCTGTGTACAGAGGCTCTGACCTCGACACCAGAAGCTCTGGTAGACACTCTGTGTACAGAGGCTCTGGCCTCGACACCAGAAGCTCTGGTAGACACTCTGTGTACAGAGGCTCTGTCCTCGACACCAGAAGCTCTGGTAGGTATCTTGAGATCAGAGGCTCTGGCCTCAAAAGCTCTGTGAGGAAACAAAGGTTCTGGTTTCATTAACAGAAACTCTGGTATAGAACTCGGTTGTTGTCTAAGGATTCTAGCATGATTGTTGAGGCTTAGTGTTGTTTAGTAGTTTCCTCAAAACCGCTAAGCTCTTGTTAGAGGATACACCTTAGTAACCATGATTATTTATGTCACAGATCCTTTCGACGATGTCTTCAAATTCAAGCGATTATTCCGTAGACGATTCCGGTTACGTAGTCGGTCGCTCCCAGAGGAACCCAACACGTAACAAAGAGATAGATCCATATGACCAGGATGCGATTTCTAGTGGCACTGCGATCGCCCCACAGGTGTCCTACCTACCCCCAATGGAGCCAGCCCCTGATGTTCCATCGCGAACCCAGCAAGGACCAAGGATCAGACTCACGCCTCGAAAGAGTGTCGCTGTACCACAGAGGGTGACATTTAGAAACTCACAGAGGGGCGTTGGAGAGTCATCTCGACCCCTAGGTGGGAGCAGGATGACCCAAATTGTGACTGGAATACCGGCATCATATCCGCAAGGGATGAAACCATCAGAGAAGGAATGTGTAAAGAGGATCGCAGAGGACACGCAGATGCACCAGACTCGGCTCGATTATCACCACAACATCCTCAAAAACCTATCATAAATAGTGGAAGTGCATCATCAGGGTATAGAGTGGAACGGGGATATGGCTGCTGTCGCCAGGCGAGAGATTAGGAAGTTATATAGGTGGCGATTTGTCTTTAGCCTGATAATGCTAGGATTAGGAATGGTTATTGGTTCGTTGTTGCTTTAGGAAGAAATTGGATTGGATTACTCTTTTGACCTAAAACTTGAAACTCTGTTTTGTATCATTTCTTGATCAAGTGATGCATGATATCTTTTGGAGGAGTTTCTATTATGTCTATTGGTTATGTGGTTGTTTATACCTTATATTGATTATTTGTCATCTTCCTATCTTTTGTCACGCAAATAAGACATGTAAGCATCCTCAAAATCTTATGGAAAACCACTCATGTCACTCTCAATTTTATGAATTCCCTCATGTTAGGATTCAAAGAAATGCCGCCAAGAAGAGAAAACCCCAATCTAGCATAGCTCGTTTCAGAGCAACTTATTGCTGCACTCCCCAGTATAATTAGCCAAGTGGCTGCTGGTTTGAATGCTAACCAACCTTCAAACTCGGAGCCTYGACCATCACGGGAATGTACTTATAAAACCTTCCGAGCTTGTAATCCTAAGGAATTTAACGGAACAAAAGGAGCGGTAGGATTATTGACGTGGCTCGAGAGTATGGAATCCATTTTGATCATCAGTGATTGCGCTGAAGGGAATAAAGTAAAATATGCTGCGTGCCTTTTACAAGGAAGGGCGCTTATGTGGTGGAACACCTTGGTGCAAACAAGAGGCCGAGAAGCAGCCAATCAGCTCTCATGGGAGGAGTTTAAGAAATTACTAAAGGAAGAATACTGTCCGAGAAGTGAACTCCAAAAGCTGGAGATGGAGTTATGGAACCTTGAGATGAAGGGAAACGATATTTCTGCGTATACAACAAGGTTCCAAGAATTGGCAAACCTGGTGCCGCACCTAGTGAYACCAGARGARKTACGRATAGAAAGATATATTTGGGGGTTGTCCCCAGAAATTAGAGGCAACATAACCTCTGCCAATCCAAAGAGTTTTCAAGGAGCAGTGGAAATTGCCACGAAACTCACAAACAATGCGGTGCGATCTGGAGGTTTGGCTAAAGGAAAAAGAAAGATGGAAGACCATGAAGACCGAAAGTTTGGAAGGAAGCCGGACAGGAATAAAAAAACAACAAGAAGCTTTGGAGCTCAATCACAGGTAGTTGAACAGGGCGATGTAATCAGCTGCGATAAGTGCAAAGTCCCACATCGAGGAAATTGCATTACCTGCCAGAGGTGTCATCTTGGGGGTCACACGGCAAGGACTGCCGGAAACGTCTATGCTATGAATGTGGGAGCCCGGATCACATGAGAAACGCTTGCCCAAAAAGAAAAACGGGGACAAATATAAAGCAGATTCGACTGAACAATGCGGGCAACTCGGGAAGTCAGGCTAGGGGCCGAGCTTTCAAATTGGGAGCCAGAGAAGCTAGAGAGGATCCCAACGTGGTATCAGGTACGTTTCATCTGAACAATGAATTTGCATCAGTTCTATTTGACTCGGGTGCCGACAGAAGCTTTGTGTCACTAAATTTTAGGTAGAAAATTTACTTAAAGACTCAGAAGTTGGAAGAAGCCCTTGTCATAGAATTTGCCAATGGCCAGAAATTTAAAGCCAGGGATATAATTCTGAACTGCACCTTGAATTTAGCTAATAAGGACTTTAGCATAGACCTTATACCGATCGAACTGGGAACTTTCGACGTAATTATAGGCATGGACTGGCTGTCCAGGAACCAAGCCGAAATCATTTGTTTAGATAAGCTTATTTGAATTCCTCAAGAAGGAGTGGAGCCAATAGTGGTCCAAGGAGATAAGTTGGACCAAGCGATTAAGTTGGTATCCTGCATGAAGATAAGGAAGTACCTAAAGAAGAATTACCCTGCATACTTGGCCCACATAATAGATGGAAGAATCAGGAAGGATAACATTGAGGATTTACCCATAGTTCGGGAATTTTCCGATGTCTTCCCGAAATATCTGCCAGGCTTGCCCCCGCAAAGGCAAGTGGAGTTCGGTATCGACTTGACCCCTGGAGCTGCTCCGGTGGCCAAGGCACCATACCGTTTGGCACCCTCAGAAATGCAGGAAATGTCGACCCAACTCCAGGAATTGTTAGACAAAGGCTTTATAAGGCCAAGCCATTCACCATGGGGAGCACCGGTATTATTCGTCAAAAAGAAAGACGAATCGATGCGAATGTGCATTGATTATAGAAAACTCAATAAGTTAACCATCAAGAATAGATACCCTCTCCCCAGAATCGATGACCTGTTCGATCAACTTCAAGGAGCAGCCTACTTTTCAAAAATTGATTTACGATCTGGGTATCACCAAGTGAGGGTTCGGGAAGAGGACATTCCCAAGACGGCCTTCAGGATCCGTTATGGCCATTATGAATTTATGGTAATGCCATTCGGACTAACCAATGCACCGACTGTCTTCATGGATCTGATGAACAGAGTCTGCAGACCGTACCTGGATAAATTTGTAATCGTCTTCATAGACGACATATTAATTTATTTAGGAAGTCGGGAAGACCATGAGAGACACTTGAGGGTAATATTGGAAGTACTTCGAAGAGAGAAGTTGTATGTTAAATTCTCTAAGTGTGAGTTCTGGCTACGAGAAGTTCAGTGTCTGGGTCATGTAGTTAATGAAAGAGGAATTCAAGTGGACCCAATCAAAATTGAGGCTAACAAGAACTGGGAAGCCCCTAAAACACCTACAGAGATTCATCAATTTCTTGGGTTGGCAGGTTACTACRGGCGTTTCATTGCAAATTTCTCAAAAATTGCACTACCGCTTACAGCCTTAACCCAAAAAGATAAGAAATTTATCTGGAGCGAGAAGCAACAAGAGGCCTTCGAAACTCTCAAACAGAAGCTGTGTAATGCACCTATCTTATCCTTACCAGAGGGCTCGGATAACTTCGTAGTCTTTTGTGATGCATCACATCAAGGCCTAGGTTGTGTATTGATGCAAAAGGATAAAGTAATTGCCTATGCATCGAGACAACTGAAAGTGCATGAAAA